CAGAGTGCTAGGATTACAGGCGTGAGCCACCGCACCCGGCCTCTTTTCTATTTTAGAACTACTCTACAATGAGTTTGTATCCTTTTATAATCACTTAAAAAGACTAGTCCCCAAAACTCATGTTAGGGACATAGGAATTTACTAACAGTTTCTTGAGAGTCTCCTCACTTCCCACAACAGTCTCTTTGAAACTGGTTCCTTCCAAAGTTTAACTCCAATTGTGATCTTCTTAAATCTTTGCCTACCGCACTCCCCCTACATACACACAACCTTATTATTGTTTCATACCTCATGTTTCCTAAAATTCAGTCTCCCCTGAAATCTGGTGTTTCCTAAATCTCACACTGAAATCAAAATCCCTTAACCCGGCCGGGCGTGGTGGATCACGCCTGTAACCCTAGCACTCTGGGAGGCCGAGGCGGGCGGATTGTTTGAGCTCAGGAGTTCGAGACCAGCCTGAGCAAGAGCGACACCCCGTCTCTACTAAAAAAATAGAAATTAGCTGGACAACTAAAATATACATATATAAAAAAATTAGCCGGGCATGGTGGCGCATGCCTGTAGTCCCAGCTACTTGGGAGGCTGAGGCAGAAGGTTGCTTGAGCCCCGGAGTTTGAGGTTTCTGTGAGCTAGGCTGAAGCCCCGGCACTCTAACCGGTGCAACAGAGTGAGACTATGTCTCAATTTTTTTTTAAATTAAAAAAAAATAAAAATTAAAAAATCCCTTAACCCTCATTTCCCTTTGCCACCATTGAGAACAGCCCTGTGGCAAGCGCCAGGAGTGGCCCACAGCCCAGACCAAGCTTGACCAGGGTGGGGCAGGTAGGGCTGGGACAAGTGGCAGATAGGACTAGGACAAGAGAGTTGGTTCCTGGCTAGGAGCAGTGGCTCAAGCCTGTAGTCCTAGCACTGTGGGAGGCTGAGGCAGGTGGATCACTTGAGGTCAGGAGTTTGAGACCGGCCTGATCAAGAGCTAGACTCCCGTCTTTACAAAAAATAGAAAACTGGCTGGCCTTCTACTTGGGAGGCTGAGGCAGGAGGATCTCTTGAGCCCAGAATTGTGAGGTTGCCATGAGCTATGATCACGTCACTGCCCTCTATCCCAGGCAACAGGGTCGTGGACAAAGACGTTTTGACAAAGGCTCTTCGAATCTGTTTTATTATAAAATTTCTTGGCTTTCAAATAATTTGCCTTTCAAGCGCAGCCTCAGAGATGTTGTTTAATTCATTTCTTCCTTCTGAAATTCTCGAAATAGATGATTTATCTATCATCACCTCTCCCCATATGCCAGACCATTTCTGGTTTATCCAATTAAATAAGCACCTCAATGTAAGGGAATTATTACGTGCATTAGCTGTTCCAAATTCACTTCTTGTTCTCAGGCTCTACACCACCCATCGACACTTTCCCTCATGGCCAGAGTGTGACAAGGCGTGTGAGTGGGCGTGATGCAGGTGTAGGTTTTCTGCCCGAATACCGACGAGGCTCCCTGGGTCATCTAGAACGCCGCATGGTAGGCGGAAGCAAGTAGGGGCTCCGGGCGGCGCGGAGCTGGCCCACGGTTCCCGACCGACCTTAACGCCCGTCCCTGGCTCTGGCTCACCCCCAGCTGAGCTAACGCTCACCGAGCTTTCGTGAGCCATCGCCACCGCAGTCGCGGCCGCAGCAAGCCGTTTCAGCTTCACCCGGGCCTCCGAGCCGCCTAACGGTCGCCTCGGCAACCACGCGACGCTCAAGGTCGCTCGCCCCGCCCACAGCTGCTGCGCGCTCCAGCCATTCACCCCGCCCAACGGCCGTGCGTACGTGCGTCGTCTCTATGGTGGCGGCGGATTCGGAGGGACAGAACGCACCCGGAGTCAGGCAAGGGAATCTGGGCTGCGGGTGTGACTCTGACCTGGGTTGGGGGCTTCGGGGAGCTCAGCCGAGGGAAAAAAGGTCTAGAGGCCTCATAACGCCTTCTTAGCCCGTGCGCTTGGGGCCACCAGGTGGTCCTGTGCCATCACCATTGCACCTCTAGAATTCTCTTCCATCGCCTCATGACTCAGCCCTGGGACTTCTCTCTCCTGCTCCAGAGCCACTCTCCATGTCATGTGACCCATCCCCCGTCACCCCCTCGGGGTACCCCTTCATGTGACCCAGACTCCGGGGTCTCCCGAAGTGCCTCCTGATAGCCATCCCTTCAGGAATCTCCGCTGTCGTCTGTTTCCTGCGCGCCCCGTGATTTGGGTGTCCCTCCCCAGCATGTTCCGCCGAGAGCGCTCCATTCCCCTTCGAGGCTCGGCCGCCGCCCTGTGCAACAACCTCAGTGTGCTGCAGCTGCCGGCCCGCAACCTCACGCATTTTGGAGTGGTCCACGGACCGAGCGCCCAGCTTCTCAGCGCTGCCCCTGAGGGTGTGTCCTTGGCTCAGCGCCAACTCCACGCTAAGGAGGGCGCTGGAGTGAGCCCTCCACTTATCACTCAGGTGAGGCATAGAGTTGGGAGTGGCGTTGCTGAACCTGGCCTACCGCCTACCCTTTCTCTCCAAATCTCAAAGGAATAGGCCTTCCCTAACCCCTGAATTTACACTCTTTGACTTCTCATGTCCCCTGCTCGGATTTTCTCCCTACACTGATCCACCTCCTTCCAGGTCCACTGGTGTGTCCTCCCCTTCCGAGTACTGCTGGTACTCACCTCACACAGAGGAATACAGGTAAGAACACCCTCCTACCTTACTCCACAGTCTTGTCAGCTCCTCTGCAGGGATTCCAGACCCTTCCCCACTTGCCTGTAAACACTTGCAAACTTTTCACATGCTTAGCCCACTCCCTTTTTCTATTTCTCATCTTAATTCCTTACATCTTTTCTAGTTCCCAAGTGCCACCTCCAATATCTGCCCCTTTACTAGCTGTATGACCTCAGGCAATTAACTACTCAGAGCCTCAGTGTCCTCCTCTGTAAAATGGGGATAGAAGTAGTACCTACCTCCCAGAATTGTTTTGAGGATGAAATGGCCTAAAGCTAGCGTGTATATGTGAAGTACTCAATACAGAGCCAGCAGAGGTCAGCTGGATTATGCCCCCATCCTTGTCCTCGTCTTGCAGATGTACGAGTCTGATGGCTCTGTCATGGTCTATTGGCACGCTCTGGACTCTGGAGATGCTTCTCCAGGTACCTGCAGGACCAAGTGGGGTGGGGGTAGGGAGTGTTTGCTGGGGCTGGGGGAAGCACTATTTCTGATAAGTTTTCCCCTTTCATACTCAGTACAGGCTGTGTTTGCACGAGGAATTGCTGCCAGTGGCCACTACATCTGTGTGGGTGAGGGGGCCAGGGTCAGGGCACTGATGAGTGCTGGGAGTATAGGGGTGTGGGCTTTGGGCAGGAGAATGCTGAGGGCCTGAGGAAATTGTGGAGGGTTAGAGGGAAGGGTGGGAGTGGAGGGTAATCTGAAAGAATTCTAAAAAGCCATGGAGGGGTTCATAGGGGCAGGGTGGGATAGGAGGGTAGTGAATGGAGGGGCAAGGCTGTCAGAGCAGTGAGAGGTGGGTTTGTTACTAAGGTTTCTGGGACAGAGGGAGTGCTGAGTGTGGTGGCTGGAGACCCAGGAGGGTCGGGGAGCCATCAGTGGGGCACTGGTTTTGGCTGCAGGAACATGGTCAGGCCGGGTGCTGGTGTTTGACATCCCAGCCAAGGGTCCCAACATTGTACTGAGCGAGGAGCTGGCTGGCCACCAGACACCAGTCACAGACATTGCCAGCGAGCCTGCCCAGGGACAGGTGAGTGGACTTCCCCTACCCATTCCAGTGAGCCTTGGAACTTTCCCCACTTTGGGATGCAGGGGACTTGGGTTCAAGTTTTGGCTCTGCCACTAAGCAGCTGGATGACTTTGGGCAAATCTTCGCTTCCCTAGTCTTCAGCAACCTTGGATCCAGTGATAACGCCAGAGATACTTTATGTATGTGGCATTTTATAGTTCACTAAAACTTTTTAGTACAGGTGTGAATTTCTAAGTTGCTTTCCAGCTCTGACATGTGTAGCTCTCTTCTGCGGACTTGGGCACATCCTACTTACTCCGGCCCAGCTCCAGTGCCATCTTCTCCAGGAAGCCTTCCCCCTATTCCAGCTCCCACTGATCTCCCTTAGCTGAACCCTGAATTGACACTGCCCTCAAAGACAACTCTTGTCTCCCCAAATGGTTTGCAAACCTTTTGAGAACAGGGTATGTATTTCCTAATTCACACTCTCCACTGTGCCTGACACAGGGCTGGGCCCATAGGCTATGCTGGCTGCCAGGTGTTGGGTGTTGGAAGGCCCAGGGTCTAGGCATGACTGACTGGCTTGCTCACTGCAAGGTCTCCAAAGGTCATGACACTATGGCCTCAGGTTATCATCCATTCAGTGAAGATAACTGTATGCCCCCTCTTAACACATGATGTGTGTGGGAGAGGGAAGCTATGAGACTCTATAAAGAAATGCAAGGGAAGCAGTTCATGCTTCCTGAGGGAACCCTGGGGAAGGTTTCTTGTGGGTCCAGCTGGTGAGGGCTCCACACAAATACTGCCTCCCTTCCTCTCCTGCCCTGTATACAGGACCAGAGCAGGGGAGAAAGGGAAGGGCTGATCCCACCTTTCCCCCTCAGGATTGTGTGGTTGACATGGTGACGGCAGATGACTCAGGCTTGCTGTGTGTCTGGCGGTCAGGGCCAGAATTCACATTACTGATCCGCATTCCAGGATTCGGGTAGGTGAGGCAGAAGGGGGCGGAGGCCTTCCTGAGGTAGCTTCAGGATGGGGAGTGGGACTGGGTCTGGTGAAATCAAAATTGGGTGTCACCCTTGCAGAGTCCCATGCCCCTCTGTGCAGCTGTGGCAGGGGATCATAGCAGCAGGCTATGCGAATGGGCAAGTTCGTCTGTATGAGGCTACTACAGGAACTCTACACGTCCAGATCAACGCCCATGCCCGGGCCATCTGTGCCCTGGACCTAGCTCCTGAGATGGGCAAGGTCAGTCTCCTTGTCCATCCCTGTATACCCTTTTCCCTGGTGCTGGGATGTTGAGAGGACACCACAGGCTTCTCTTTGCTACTCAATGTGGTCCTCCTCCCCAGGGCACCTGGACTGGACATTCCAGCCTATACCTGTCCCCCTGGCAGGGCATTCTGACTCCCATTCACTCCTCCCTGCTTTTCTTAATAGCTACTCTCTGCAGCTGAGGACACCTTTGTGCATATCTGGAAGCTGAGCAGAAGCCCAGAGAGTGGCTACATTGAGGTCTGTGTCATGGGAGGGGTGGGGAATGGGGGATCTGAGCATGAGGCACCAGGCCCTGACCAGCCTGTTTCTCCTCCAGGTGGAACACTGTCATGGTGAGTGTGTGTTCGACACCCAGGTGTGTGGTGCTCGATTCTGTGATCCCTCAGGCAACTCCTTTGCTGTGACTGGCTACGACCTCGCTGAGATCTTGCGATTCAGCAGTGTGTGAGAGAAGAGCAGCTTCCTTTCTCCCTATATTTCGTGTATTTATAAAGTACCCCTTCCACCCAGTCCTGGTCTGATTACTCAGTATCACCATCATACTTCGCAACTGGTAAACTAAGCCCCAAGGATGAGGTGGGACACATCTAGACCAATCAGAGTGAGATAACCTGCCCTCAAGAACCAGGTAAAGGCTGCTGTTAAATAACTTTAATGGTTGATATGGGAGTCACAAGGGAGGTGTCTTCCCCCCAGGGCTCTTCAGTGCCATCCTCAAAGTTGGTTAGTGCAGGGAGGTAGGGCATAGTTGGTTCCAGTTTTCTCCCAGGAAGGGTTCAGGGGGTCCCAGCCAGCCCCGGGAACGAGTCCCTCAGTACCATGGCAACCACAACTTAAGAAGGGCTTCTGTCCCCCTTCGCCAGCCTACCCCCAGTCCAGCAGAGGACGAAGAGGCCAAGCTGGTCAACTTGCTACAGACAGTGCCATATCCAGAGCCCAACTGCACGTGGGTCATTTTCTCTTCTGGCAAGATCCTGTTGCCAGCACCCTTCTTTCTCACACTGGTGACTGGAGCCAAGTGCGGGGTGGGCCTTTGCTGCAGAGGCCTCTGGACCGTGGGGATCGCTGCACAGGGAGAGGGGCAACCGAGCGAGAAGCCCCAGGGGAATGGTCTGGGGGGACAGCATCCAGGGAAAAGGTTCGGGGTCGTCCCCAGGGCAGGGGGTGGGTCCAGGCTGAGGCTGGGGCCACTGAGGCAGGCGAGCAGGGGTTAGGCAGGGTAGGCTGGTCTGTAAACATTGCTAGCCAGGGTGGGGGTGTCTCCAGCCTTGCTCCCTCCCGCTGGGCCAGGATGTCTGTCACCGCTGCGATGTCATCCAGCGGCTCAATAGCTGTGGCACCAGGAAGGGGTTGCGGGGAGGGGGCTAGTCAGAGCTCAGGCCCCAGACCCACCCATCCCTGACTATCACCTGTCACTGTAATAGGAGGAAAGCAAAGCCCGGATCTCAGCCGAAATTGCATTATCCTGCAGGAGCAGCCCCTCACCTGGGCCCCCTGGGGCCACAGGCTCTGATAAGACTGTGGCATATGGGATATAAGGTGGATGGGGAGGGGAACAGAAGTAGGTGAAGAAACCAGGAAAGAGGAGAAAAATGAAAGCAGTGCCAGGCAAGTGAGGGGTCAGAGGAAGAG